AAAAAATCCCAAAATTGGGAAAAAATCCGGTGAAAAAAGGGTTAAAATTGACCCCAAAACCACCAAAATTCCCATAAAAGAGACCCCAAAAACCCCAAATCCCCGCCCAGGCAGTGCCGGCTCACCGGGCAGAGCCCTGGAAATCATCCCGAATTCCTCAGAAATCCCAAAATTGGGAAAAATCCCAAAAAAATCCCAAAATTGGGAAAAAATCCGGTGAAAAAAGGGTTAAAATTGACCCCAAAACCACCAAAATTCCCCCAAAATCTGACCCAAATCCCCATCCAAATCCTATAAAAATCCTATAAAAACCCTATAAAATCCTATAAAAACCCTATAAAATTCTATAAAACCCTATAAAACCCTATAAAACCCTATAAAATCCTATAAAAACCCTATAAAACCCTATAAAATCCTATAAAAACCCTATAAAACCCTATAAAATCCTATAGAACCCTATAAAACCCTATAAAATCATATAAAAATTCTATAAAATCCTATAAAACCCTATAAAAAACCCTATAAAACCCTATAAAATCCTATAAAACCCTATTAAATCCTATAAAATCCTATAAAACCCTATAAAATCCCATAAAACTGTATAAAACCCTATAAAAATCCTATAAAATCCTATAAAACCCTATAAAATCCTATAAAACTCTATAAAACCCTATAAAATCCTATAAAAATTCTATAAAATCCTATAAAAATTCTATAAAATCCTATAAAATCCTATAAAACCCTATAAAATCCTATAAAAACCCTATAAAATTCTATAAAACCCTATAAAAACCCTATAAAATCCTATAAAAACCCTATAAAACCCTATAAAGTCCTATAAAACCCTATAAAACCCTATAAAATCCTATAAAAATCCTATAAAATCCTATAAAACCCCATAAAACCCTATAAAATCCCATAAAACCGTATAAAACCCTATAAAAATCCTATAAAATCCTATAAAACCCTATAAAATCCTATAAAACCCTATAAAACCCTATAAAACCCCATAAAATCCTATAAAATCCTATAAAACCCTATAAAATCCTATAAAACCCTATAAAACCCTATAAAATCCTATAAAACCCTATAAAACCCTATAAAACCCTATAAAACCCTATAAAATCCTATAAAACCCCATAAAATCCTATAAAACCCTATAAAATCCTATAAAACCCTATAAAACCCCTATAAAATCCTATAAAAATCCTATAAAAACCCTATTAAACCCTATAAAATCCTATAAAATCCTATAAAAACCCTATAAAATTCTATAAAACCCTATAAAATCCTATAAAACCTTATAAAAACCCTATAAAACCCTATAAAAATCCTATAAAACCCCAAAAAACCCCCAAAAAACCCTATAAAACCCTATAAAATCCTCTAAAATCCTATAAAATCCCATAAAACCCTATAAAATCCTATAAAACCCTATAAAATCCTATAAAATCCCATAACCCCACGTACCGGCGGCCAGGGCGTACTCGCGGTAGATCGGCAGCCGGAAGAGCCCCTCCAGCGCCGCCAGGCACGGCTGCAGCCCCGGGCACGGACCCC